GGGAAACCTATTTCTTCGTTTTCTAGGGGGTCATGAAAGATCGAGAAAACGCAAAATTAGAGAATCGGCCGACGGACTCGATTACAATACTTCCTTTGCTTGCGCTCGGGAAGTAAAAACAAAATTTTTAAAGCCGGAACATTGAAAAATCGAAAAACTGTAAAATTGAAGGAAATAAAAAACTGAAACGAAAAATTGCAAATTGATAATTTGAAGAAATAACAAAATGAAGAATAAAAAACTGAAAAGTCGTATAGACGAAAAAGTTTTAAAATCCAGGAATATTTGAAAAATGAAAAAATTCCAAAATCGTAAAATGAATAAAGTGAAACATTTTAAAACTTATTGTTATTATTATTACTTATTTTAAATAAAAACTAGAAATATTGCAAATCGAGTTTTTTTACCATGGTAAAATAGGTTTTATATAAGCCAAATTATGTCTGAGCTGTCTTAATTGGAAATAGTATTGAGCATCGGCGATGTATTTCGACACTGTGGATTCAAATTCCATAATAACCTAAAATGTTTAATTTAATTTAGAATTACACCACAAAATTATGAATAGAAATTATGATGATCGCAATAATACATTACCGGTTCCATCCATGAACCCCATCTTGTCCGCCTCCACCATTTTAACACAAAGTGTTGCTTTAAAAAAGAACTATTTTCAATGCAAATCTTCTCAGCAACATGAACCTGTGCTTATTCTTGCCGTTAGTCTTCAAATAGCTCAAGAAAATGCATTTATTTTAAAAAGAATTCAAATTTGTGAAATATGTTTGTATTGATATCTAAATATTAATACATTAAGCTCTATCATGTTATTCGCAACATTGATTGAACATTCCTTGAAAATGGAGAAGACGTGAATGTAGTAGGTACTTCCTGAATTTTACTCATGTTTTTTTAATATAATGATGCATCGGTGCTACTTAATACCATTCGTCCGTCTAAATTTCCTCCATGGTTACTCGTGAGGTACAGCAAAATATCAAGCTAAAAGATTATTGCAGGCGCATGTGGGTCAAATTTAAGAACTGTTGTTACTATGAAGAAATTAAACGCTTAAGGTCTATCGTTAAATATCAAATGGATAACTCATACAAGAGTATCTGGACCGAGTTCAGAGTAACATCAAGTCTGATCCATCTTCCTTATGGAGTTTTTTACATACCAAGAATAGCAGTTCCAGAATTCCCTGTTCCTTATCTGATGACGCGGGAGAAACATTTTCAGATCCTCAGGATATTGTTAATGCTTTTGCTAGAACTTTTTCCAATGTATTTATACTTAGAAGTAATTTTGTCCTCACTGAATCTTCCTCTTACGTCTACAACAATTGTTTATCTATAGCTCATGTCACTTCGGAGGATTTGATTTCAACTATGGCAAAACTTACAAACAAACGAAGAAGTGGTGATGATTTGATTTCAAGTTTTCTTATCCGTAGCTGCAGGTATATTCTAGCGTAACCTCTTTCCATCATTATAAATTTAGCTCTTAAAACCAGTACGTTTCCGGATCGTTGGAAAATCGGTAGAGTAATTCCAATCTTTAAAAAAGGGGATTCATCGTTACTAAGTAATTATCGACCTATTTCCATCTTGACCAACTTCGCTAAGATTTTCGAACTTGTGTTGTACAACTTTATCTACAGTAAGTTGTCTTCAGTTATTAGTTCTGAGCAACACGGTTTTAAGACCGGAAGATCAGGAGTCTTCAATCTGTCTATTTTAACTCAAGATCTCAGTGAGACCCTCGATAAACGTGAACAAGTTGATGTGTTATTTATACAGATTTTTCACACGTTTCTGATTTTATTTCTCATGACATCCTTCTTCACAAACTTAATAATCTTGGATGTTCTTCTTCCCTTCTTAAATTGATGGAGTCATACTTGACTAATTGCACGCTTTATGTATTTTATAATGGATTTAATTCTTTGGCTTTTTGTTCGACCTCAGGTGTCCCTCAAGGGTCAAATCTTGGCCCTCTCCTTTTTAATTTATATATTAATGATCTTCTCGAATCTTTAGAATGTTACTTTTTGGCTTATGCGGACGATTTAAAATTTTTTTCTAAAATTTCAAAGTTATCCGATGCTCTTCGTCTACAATCTCAACTCATCAAAATTCTCGAATGGTGTTATTTGATTGCAAAATTTTCTGTTACATTCATCAAATTCTACAATTTCCTCTGGGTTTATTATACAAAATGTTTTGTAACTCTTCTCTCAAATGAAACTAGACTGAAGTTATTTTTTTAAACGATGCTACACCTAGCTGAATCTTTGTAATTTGTGCTGGTTAAGATACCATTCCACATTTAGCAAACAATCTGTTTGTGTAAACATGGCACAAATCCTTTTACGTACATCAAACATAAAATCCACTGGAACTAGACTTTTTACTCAATTTTCTGCTAATGCCTACCATTTTCTGCCAGTAACGACGGATTTAGTTTAAATGAACAAATATATAATACAGAGCTCCAGATTATGAAAAGTGCAGTCAGCTCCAGGGGTTCCGATATAGATCTTAAAATTGGTGAAATTTTCTTACAAGAACACATTATATACAAAAAGTTCGAAAGAGCTAATGAAATATTTTTAGCAAACTTAAGAAATATGATTTAAAAATATATAGGGCCGGTTTATAGATTTAAATTAATTAAATATGTAATCGTCGATGAATTTAACACAGGATTAAAATATGGAATATGAGCCCGTGATTGGTTAAAACCAGCAATTTCTCAAGTTGTTCGTTTTCAATTTTCAGATTTTCCAAAGTTTTCGTTTTATACTTTTTCGTTTTTCTTTTAATTTTTTAATTTTACAATTTTGAAAGTTTTACATTTAAAAAAAAACTGTTGGCACCTCCAAGAAGCTTTCACATTCTTAAAAAAGGACATTTGGGCCCTGAGAAGGTTTTACATTTTTAACAAAGATAGTCGGGACTACCGAGAAAGTTTCACATTTTTAAAAAGGACAGTTGGGAGCCCCGAGAAGGCTACACTTTCTTAAAAAATACTTACATTTGGCACCTGCGAGAAATTTACCCATTCTTAAAAAATGACAGTTGGGGCCTCCGAGAAGGTTTTACATTTTTAATAGCTACTAGCCCCGCCCACCCACCCTCTCTTCTTTTAGAGAGTATCTCATTTGCCAAAATCTGTCTTATCTTAGCAGGTACTAGCCCCGCCCACCCACCCTCTCTTTTCTTAGGGAGTATGTTATCTGCCAAGGTCAGCCTTATCTTGGCAGGTACGGACCTCAGTTAAAAGTTAATCGCGAATTAACTTTAATTTCCCTTTCTATAAACCGGGCCATAAAATAGTAAAAAATCGTACAATATCTAGATGAGTTGAAATACCTACAAAGATTTGTCAAGAATTGTATATGGGAAAATTAAGTTTTATTTTTCCTCGTTTGATTTATTTTTTTAGTAACATCTGTAATTCTATCCATTTTTCTACTGGATATTTGTAGAACACTAGTAAATGTATGTGGCCAGCGACCATTTTGTTTCTAGAACATTGGCTAGCGTAATGTGAAAACATTTAACATCAGGTTAAACATTTTAAATTGTAAATTAATCTATAATAATTTTGGTTGTTTATCACAAACACTAATATTTATACTATTTTATGTCTCTGTTGTAACGTTTGGAATAAACCGTCTGTTATTGTGGTCGAAACTTTTTTATTTAATGTCATTTTACTTTCATATTTGACTTGAAATTTACTTAGGAATATTTTTTTAATTTCTGGAAAGAGATAAACAGACAAAAATAATCCTTATCAGTTTTATTGGAAGCAAAAGGCGTACATAAATTTTCATATAATAGGTTTGTAGCTCCGGAAATTATCTGTCATGACCCTTATCAGTGTTACGTATCAGGAAAGAAACTGTATAACATCTAATGTAAATGATATTTGAAAAAACCTGGACACACATAAAAAGCATTTTTCTTATTATATAACTAATCGTAATTACATATTTATATAACTGTGTTAGTCGGATTATAAAATTTAACGAAGTTCGAAATACATATTTGTGAATAAATTAAATCTAGATTTTGCATCACACAAAATTACTAGTTAATAAGCAATCTCTAAAAAATAGTCACAGACCTCGGCTGTCTGACAATTTTTTTACCTTACTTTAAAATTATAGCAACCTGCTGAAATCTTAAATAGGGCAGTTGGAAAAGTATAAATAAAGCAAAATTGTCTAGATTGTGACGATTTAGTTTTATTCTAAAATAAAACAACGGAGGAAAATCATGCATCATTAATATATTTTTTTTTTGTTTATCCGGTTGCGATTTTCCACCAACTAGCACATTCTATGGTCGTTCGCGACGTTCAAAGTTACGAACTATTTGTTTTACTGTTTCAATTTGGTTAAACAATTTGCATTTAAAGTTTCCTGCTCCGAACGAAATTACGTAGTTATGCGGGAAACCGATTAGGTGGCGCTTCATCAACAGGTCGCTCAACTTCTCCAACCCCCAGAAAATTCACCCTTCCGTTCAAACTTGGCTCTTTTTCATCTTTGTTCATGCTACTCGGGATTAGTTTAGAAGTTATCCTCTGACATGACATGCTAGATTTTCCGGCATTGTCAGAGTCGGCATTCCGAAACTCCTCGTCTAACTCTCAATTACGTAGAGACAAATTCCGTCCATTAACTTAGCGCGACACAATTAAACGACCAGTTTAGCAACTCCAGAAGTCGTTGCCTTAACTCATTAGTTTACGAGCGGCGCAGGGCTTTTTTGAGTACTTTGTGCTTTTGCTGCAGCTAATTCAATTAGGGTTTATTAAGACGCGTTAAAAATTCGTCCTGCTGCCGCAGGATCACGCGAAGGCGCCTCCTGCTCGAGCCCAAATGAGTAAGTTATCCGGTAAGAAATCAAAACATAAAGTTTGGCGCAGGCGTGCGAGCTTTTAGTGCGAGCGCCGCGACGCCGGCGTCAGTCGACATGCTGCAGGAGGCCAATGCTGTACTCTATGGCTAAAGCACGTTTCGATGTGAAGCTCGGATCCACGGTTTTAGTGTTTTTGCTGCTGAACTCGGCCTCGCCGAAACTTTTGGGTATGCTTATAGAAGTAGCACGTAAAAGTAATTTTTTGCACGAGCTTTCAGTTCCTTGTTTAATAAAATTTTTTCGGTGGATGTCATGCCGCTAATTCCGCGTCGCGTGTGTTTGATGTAAAACGACTTTGAAATTATTTATTTCCCCGCTGAAAAAATTATTATTATCGGAGCTTTACAAATTATCGGGTTATTAGCATAATTCCGGAACCGGTTTTGTTGCAGGTCGAATTAGTTTTTCTTTTTTCTTATCGTCTGCAAACAAATTTCGATTCCCTAACGCTATCATCGGCATTAAACGCTGCGTTGGGTCCTCAGAATTACGGAGACATTGTTTACATAATTCAAGTGAAATACATGAGATATTTACGTTTCTCAAATAGCGGTATAAAGCAAATAAAAACGGTTTCATGTTTATTCAATGTCAAACTCATATAAATTGGAACTTTATGAGGATTTGTGTTATTGAATTTGAAATCATTTTTCGACGAAAAATCTCATTTAAATCGAGACTTCGTCGGACTTCTCTTTTCATTGTGACGGGAAAAATTATTATTTTTGCCGCTTTGAAGTTTAAATTAAAATCACTGAAAAAATTTTACGTTTCTGATTGTTCTTTCAGCACTCGGAAATATATAGCTCTGCCGAGTGTAACCAGAAATGGATTCTTTGATGAGCAAATTAAAGACATTCGGCGCTTTATTGAAGAAAATACAAAATGGCGAGCTTTGATGTGCACTAATCACTTTCGGAGTAAAGAGACTTAGGCACTTTCAAAGTTAGATGTATTTTAGGCCTTCAGATGACTATTAACATTTCCAGGCACAATAATGTGCCCATCTAAGTAAATATATGCTAAGTTGTTTTACCTGTTTTCGTAACAGAATACTTAACTAATTTTGAGCCTGCAATAAAAGCTAGCTCATTCATAAATTTTGCATTAAGAATTTACACTTTCCCCTTAGAGACGGTAAGCCTGTAATTAATATTTCGAATGAATAGCGTTTCGGTCGATCTTAGATTAATTATCATCAGTTCGATATTTTATGTTTTTGAGGCGCCCGATTTTTGAGATTCCGCACTGAAATTATAATGTTTAAAGAACTACAATATTAATTCTTTCGTACTTAATTTACACTACAACTTTCAGCTTAGAGAAGCTCTAATTTACTGGAAAATCTTTACGAGTTTTTTTTTTTTTTGATTTATGGACTACGTGCATAACTTTCCAATTATTTAAAAACACATAAATTTTAGGGTATAATGAAGGGTGTATTGTGAATTTGGTCCGGATAAAATCCACCCACGTTACTGAGGTGAAGCTTAAATATTTATTGGAGTTTGTGTATTAAGTGTAGGGGTGACGGTTTAGAGTCATGAAAAGTGACACTGTTCTAACCGGTGCCACATTTATGCAACTTTCTTCGTCATTTAGACAGTAGTTTATTTCGTATTTAAGGTTTAACATTGTTGTGTTTTTGAAATTTTTTGTAGTTTCGGATCTCTTTTTGTAGTCGTTATGTTGCTGCCCCAGACTGAAGCGTGTATAATGGATGACATATTTTTTTGTTTGTTTTTTTTTGTGTTTCCGGATTTTCAGTTTGTTATTTTCATGTTACACGTGAAATTGTGTTTCGTTATTTCAGTGTTGTCAGAACTGTTTCTGTCCGTATTTGTCTTGGTATGGAGTTTTTTTTTTCTTTAAATTCTGGTAAATCTTCGTGTTCACTAGTTTGAAAATATTAAAATATAGGTTTTCGTCAGTCATCTCAGTGCCGGGAATTTTATTACATACAATAATCGGTGCATACTTTTATCGTATGTTTTCAAATAAAAGAAAATAAAGCTAAATTTTAACGTTTATGTACAACTAGTGTTGAAAAATCACTTCTTTGTTTAATTATGGTTTGGTGCAGCTACTAAAGCTATTTTGAGAAAAGCACGTTTTTTTCTGCTATATTAATTTATGTAAAAATTTCAAATCTTATGCGTCAATTAGAATAGTCTAAATTTGTTTGAAAGTGGATCGTATTTAGCCGAAATTGTCTCAGGACTACGAATACGTTTGTGTTTTTGACGTATATTTACAAATTACTGAGAAAGACTCGATTGTTTAGAAGAAATTAAAGTTAGTAGAATCTGCTTGAACGAGAGCAATTTTTGTTGGAATAGGTGCTATATTATGTCAAACACTTACAAGTTCCTTAATTATCCTTGGAATAAATGTTTTCGAAATTTATTTTCCCGGCGCATCCACCAATTCTATGAACAATTTAAAATGGTTTAAATTTATCTGAAAATGGATTGCTGCTAAACGAAATGTTCTCAAGATCATGAATCTGTTCCTATTTCTATTGTATGTTTACAAATAACAGCGAGGGCAATTTTTGTTGCTTCAAATGTGTGTTCGAAATGTATGTTGGCTTTTATAATTTGATGCAGACATTGAAAGCACATAAAAATGCATGATTTCATCTAAGCTGTGTTATTTTATGCAGAAGTTTCTTAAATATCCCTGAAATAAATATTTTTAAAACTTGTCGAGATGTCGGTGCCTTCGCCAATTTTTATATAAACAATTAACATTGTTAACTTTGTATAAGAATGAAAATTCTTATTTGAAATTTTGTCAAAATCACAAATCTGTTCATAATTTTATTGTATATCTACACATAAGAAGGATAAATTTGTTACTTTGTAGAAAAAAAAAGTCAAATCTGCTCAAGCGAAAACAATTTTTATTGGTTCAAAATTTCAGAAAATTTTAATATTTAGGGTATTTTAAAGATTCCCAAAGAAAAGTATAATTTTTCCTAAATTATATTATTTCATGTAGAAGATTCCTTCTTTTCCTTGAAATAACCATTTTTAAAATTTATTGTTTATATTGCCTCCACCTACTTTATACAAAAATTTAAAATTTTTAAAATTTGGCTGAAAATGCATTGGTCTTGGTTGAGATTTTGTCAGGAAAACAAATCTATTCGTATTTTTAGTGTAAGCCGATAATTAATGAGGACAGGTTTAATTGTAAAAAAAATCAAATTTGTTAAATCTGTTCAAACGAAATTAATTTTTATTAGTTCAAACTTTCAAAAATGTTGCAATATGTTGTAATATTTTATGCATTTTAAAGATGCCAAAGAAAGCAATATTTTTCCTAAATTATACTATTTTATGTAGAAGATTCTCTCTTATTTAAAAAAAAACTAAAAATTTATTATTATCCCGGCGCCTCCAACAAATTTATATACAAAAACGAAAATAATATTTGGCTGAAAATGCATTGGTTTTGGTCGAAATTTTGTCAATACCTCAGATCTGTTCGTATTTTAATGGTATGTCTACAAGTGACGACGATAAACACGTTTCTTAAAAAAAAATGATTTAGTCAAATCTGTTCAAACGAAATTCGAGTTTATTGGTTCAAATGTAAAAAAAAAATGTTTATGGATTCGGAAGGTACCCCAAGAAAAGCGTTATTTCTTCTAAACCATATTATTTCATGTTGAGCATTTCTTCTTGTCCTTGAAATAAAAATTTTCAAAATTTAATGTTATCTCGGCGCCTCAAAATTTCATACAAAAAATTAAAATTATTAACATTCGTCTAAAAATGCATTGTCGTTAGTCTAAATTTTGTCAGGATCACGAATCTATTTGAATTTTTATTGTACGTTTACAAACTTATTTGAAAAAAATAAATAAATCACTTAAAACTATTTAAACAAAATTAAATTTTATTGGTTCAAATGTTCAAAAGGTTTTAATATTCGGTGCATTTTAAAGATCCAAAAAAGAAACACATTTTTTTTTTCTAAATTATATTATCCTATGTAAAAGATTCCTTCTTAGCCTTGAAAAAAGTATTTTCAAAATTTATTATAATTCCGCTATATCCGCAAATTTTATACAAAAAATTAAAATGATTAAGACTTGTCTGAAAATGCATTGTTCATAGTCAAAATTTTATGAGGATAATAAATCTGCTCTTATTTTTACTGTATGTCTACAAATAACGAGGATAAAGTCGCTAATTTTGGAACTGCTCACAAGAAATTAATGAAGAAATGATTCAATTGTTAAAAAAAATAATATTTTGGTGCATTTTAAAAGTACTAAGCTACAACATTGTTATATAAATTACATTACTTTATGTAGAAGATTGACTCTTGTCTTTGAAATAAAAATTTTCAAAATTAATTATTGTCATCCCGGCGCCTCCACCATTTTTGTGCAAGAACCGAAAATAAAAATTTGCCTGAAAATACATTGGTCTTAGTCGAGATTTTGTCAAGATCACAAATCTGTTCGTGGTTTATTTCATTTAATCGTATTAAGTTTAATTATTTAATTTAACTGACCAGGATAAACCAGTTTCTTTGTAAAAAAAATTTGGTCAGATCCGCCGAAACGAAATTAATTTTTATTGGTTCAAATCTTCAAAAACATTTATTATTCGGTGCATTTTAAAAACCCAAAAAAGAAAAGTATTGTTTTTTCTAAATTATATTATTCTATGTAGAAGAATCCTTCTTATCCTTGAAATAAGTATTCCCAAAATTTATTACAATTGGGCCATCTCCACAAATCTTATACAAAAAATCAAAATTATTAAAATTTGTTTGAAAATGCATTGTTCTTGGTAAAAATTTTATCAGGATAATGAATCTGTTCTTATTTTTACTGTATGTCTCCAAATAAGGAGGATAAGCTCGTTAATGTGTAAAAAAATAAATTTGTTGCAACTAGTCGCAGGAAATTAATTTTTAATGATTCAGAAAAATATAAAAAAGTAATAATATTTTGGTGCATTTTAAAAGTACTAAACGACAACCATTTTTTGATCGAAATTATATTACTTTATGCAGAAGATTCACTCTTGTCTTTGAAATAATTTTTTTCAAAATTTTTTTATCATCCCAGCGCCTCCACCATTTTTGTGCAACAGCAAAAATAAAATTTCCCTGAAAATACATTGTTCTTTGTCGAGATTTTGTC